GACGGAGACCGCAGAGCAGACTTGCGAGTGCCCCAGAGTAGCCTCCGGGGAAAGGCAGCGCTTCAGAGAGAAGGGGCCCACTCTCCAATGGCCGTTTAAATCCGTGTGGGTTCTGATCAAGGGAACTTGCTGGCGGAGCCCTGGGGGTTGAATGGGGGAGCAGAGGCGTTGCAGCTGAGTGAGGGGGCCGTGGGCCCTGCATAGAGCCCCGCTGGCATGCTCCTACAAGCCGCTCCTGAACCGGAGCTGTGGGCACCGGGCGCTGTGTGGTGGAGATACCAGGGTACGCACCTGCAGCCTTGCACCCCACCATAGAGTGCCACTGGCTACTGTGCGGGTGCCCACTGGGTCACTCCTCTCCCTGCTCCTGTGGAGGTGTAGAAGGAGAGGAGAATAAAGGCCAAGCTTTAAGCACGTAATTCCCCTCTGGGCGTGGTTGCTGTGGGTATGTCTACACTACCCTCCTAGTTCGAACTAGGAGGGTAATGTATGCATACCGCACTTGCTAATGAAGCCCGGGAAATTCAAATCCCGGGCTTCATTAGCAAGTGCGGTATGCATACATTACCCTCCTAGTTCGAACTAGGAGGGTAATGTATGCATACCGCACTTGCTAATGAAGCCCGGGAAATTCAAATCCCGGGCTTCATTAGCAAGTGCGGTATGCATACATTACCCTCCTAGTTCGAACTAGGAGGGTAATGTATGCATACCGCACTTGCTAATGAAGCCCGGGAAATTCAAATCCCGGGCTTCATTAGCAAGTGCGGTATGCATACATTACCCTCCTAGTTCGAACTAGGAGGGTAATGTATGCATACCGCACTTGCTAATGAAGCCCGGGAAATTCAAATCCCGGGCTTCATTAGCAAGTGCGGTATGCATACATTACCCTCCTAGTTCGAACTAGGAGGGTAATGTATGCATACCGCACTTGCTAATGAAGCCCGGGAAATTCAAATCCCGGGCTTCATTAGCAAGTGCGGTATGCATACATTACCCTCCTAGTTCGAACTAGGAGGGTAATGTATGCATACCGCACTTGCTAATGAAGCCCGGGAAATTCAAATCCCGGGCTTCATTAGCAAGTGCGGTATGCATACATTACCCTCCTAGTTCGAACTAGGAGGGTAATGTATGCATACCGCACTTGCTAATGAAGCCCGGGAAATTCAAATCCCGGGCTTCATTAGCAAGTGCGGTATGCATACATTACCCTCCTAGTTCGAACTAGGAGGGTAATGTATGCATACCGCACTTGCTAATGAAGCCCGGGAAATTCAAATCCCGGGCTTCATTAGCAAGTGCGGTATGCATACATTACCCTCCTAGTTCGAACTAGGAGGGTAATGTATGCATACCGCACTTGCTAATGAAGCCCGGGAAATTCAAATCCCGGGCTTCATTAGCAAGTGCGGTATGCATACATTACCCTCCTAGTTCGAACTAGGAGGGTAATGTATGCATACCGCACTTGCTAATGAAGCCCGGGAAATTCAAATCCCGGGCTTCATTAGCAAGTGCGGTATGCATACATTACCCTCCTAGTTCGAACTAGGAGGGTAATGTATGCATACCGCACTTGCTAATGAAGCCCGGGAAATTCAAATCCCGGGCTTCATTAGCAAGTGCGGTATGCATACATTACCCTCCTAGTTCGAACTAGGAGGGTAATGTATGCATACCGCACTTGCTAATGAAGCCCGGGAAATTCAAATCCCGGGCTTCATTAGCAAGTGCGGTATGCATACATTACCCTCCTAGTTCGAACTAGGAGGGTAATGTATGCATACCGCACTTGCTAATGAAGCCCGGGAAATTCAAATCCCGGGCTTCATTAGCAAGTGCGGTATGCATACATTACCCTCCTAGTTCGAACTAGGAGGGTAATGTATGCATACCGCACTTGCTAATGAAGCCCGGGAAATTCAAATCCCGGGCTTCATTAGCAAGTGCGGTATGCATACATTACCCTCCTAGTTCGAACTAGGAGGGTAATGTATGCATACCGCACTTGCTAATGAAGCCCGGGAAATTCAAATCCCGGGCTTCATTAGCAAGTGCGGTATGCATACATTACCCTCCTAGTTCGAACTAGGAGGGTAATGTATGCATACCGCACTTGCTAATGAAGCCCGGGAAATTCAAATCCCGGGCTTCATTAGCAAGTGCGGTATGCATACATTACCCTCCTAGTTCGAACTAGGAGGGTAATGTATGCATACCGCACTTGCTAATGAAGCCCGGGAAATTCAAATCCCGGGCTTCATTAGCAAGTGCGGTATGCATACATTACCCTCCTAGTTCGAACTAGGAGGGTAATGTATGCATACCGCACTTGCTAATGAAGCCCGGGAAATTCAAATCCCGGGCTTCATTAGCAAGTGCGGTATGCATACATTACCCTCCTAGTTCGAACTAGGAGGGTAATGTATGCATACCGCACTTGCTAATGAAGCCCGGGAAATTCAAATCCCGGGCTTCATTAGCAAGTGCGGTATGCATACATTACCCTCCTAGTTCGAACTAGGAGGGTAATGTATGCATACCGCACTTGCTAATGAAGCCCGGGAAATTCAAATCCCGGGCTTCATTAGCAAGTGCGGTATGCATACATTACCCTCCTAGTTCGAACTAGGAGGGTAATGTATGCATACCGCACTTGCTAATGAAGCCCGGGAAATTCAAATCCCGGGCTTCATTAGCAAGTGCGGTATGCATACATTACCCTCCTAGTTCGAACTAGGAGGGTAATGTATGCATACCGCACTTGCTAATGAAGCCCGGGAAATTCAAATCCCGGGCTTCATTAGCAAGTGCGGTATGCATACATTACCCTCCTAGTTCGAACTAGGAGGGTAATGTATGCATACCGCACTTGCTAATGAAGCCCGGGAAATTCAAATCCCGGGCTTCATTAGCAAGTGCGGTATGCATACATTACCCTCCTAGTTCGAACTAGGAGGGTAATGTATGCATACCGCACTTGCTAATGAAGCCCGGGAAATTCAAATCCCGGGCTTCATTAGCAAGTGCGGTATGCATACATTACCCTCCTAGTTCGAACTAGGAGGGTAATGTATGCATACCGCACTTGCTAATGAAGCCCGGGAAATTCAAATCCCGGGCTTCATTAGCAAGTGCGGTATGCATACATTACCCTCCTAGTTCGAACTAGGAGGGTAATGTATGCATACCGCACTTGCTAATGAAGCCCGGGAAATTCAAATCCCGGGCTTCATTAGCAAGTGCGGTATGCATACATTACCCTCCTAGTTCGAACTAGGAGGGTAATGTATGCATACCGCACTTGCTAATGAAGCCCGGGAAATTCAAATCCCGGGCTTCATTAGCAAGTGCGGTATGCATACATTACCCTCCTAGTTCGAACTAGGAGGGTAATGTATGCATACCGCACTTGCTAATGAAGCCCGGGAAATTCAAATCCCGGGCTTCATTAGCAAGTGCGGTATGCATACATTACCCTCCTAGTTCGAACTAGGAGGGTAATGTATGCATACCGCACTTGCTAATGAAGCCCGGGAAATTCAAATCCCGGGCTTCATTAGCAAGTGCGGTATGCATACATTACCCTCCTAGTTCGAACTAGGAGGGTAATGTATGCATACCGCACTTGCTAATGAAGCCCGGGAAATTCAAATCCCGGGCTTCATTAGCAAGTGCGGTATGCATACATTACCCTCCTAGTTCGAACTAGGAGGGTAATGTATGCATACCGCACTTGCTAATGAAGCCCGGGAAATTCAAATCCCGGGCTTCATTAGCAAGTGCGGTATGCATACATTACCCTCCTAGTTCGAACTAGGAGGGTAATGTATGCATACCGCACTTGCTAATGAAGCCCGGGAAATTCAAATCCCGGGCTTCATTAGCAAGTGCGGTATGCATACATTACCCTCCTAGTTCGAACTAGGAGGGTAATGTATGCATACCGCACTTGCTAATGAAGCCCGGGAAATTCAAATCCCGGGCTTCATTAGCAAGTGCGGTATGCATACATTACCCTCCTAGTTCGAACTAGGAGGGTAATGTATGCATACCGCACTTGCTAATGAAGCCCGGGAAATTCAAATCCCGGGCTTCATTAGCAAGTGCGGTATGCATACATTACCCTCCTAGTTCGAACTAGGAGGGTAATGTATGCATACCGCACTTGCTAATGAAGCCCGGGAAATTCAAATCCCGGGCTTCATTAGCAAGTGCGGTATGCATACATTACCCTCCTAGTTCGAACTAGGAGGGTAATGTATGCATACCGCACTTGCTAATGAAGCCCGGGAAATTCAAATCCCGGGCTTCATTAGCAAGTGCGGTATGCATACATTACCCTCCTAGTTCGAACTAGGAGGGTAATGTATGCATACCGCACTTGCTAATGAAGCCCGGGAAATTCAAATCCCGGGCTTCATTAGCAAGTGCGGTATGCATACATTACCCCGCTAGTTCGAACTAGCGGGGTAGTGTAGACATACCCTGTGTCTCCCCATTGAAGCCCCGAGATGCAATCACATTATTTTCTCAGCCTTTTGCTGAATTGGGGCGAGAAATACGCCGCCAAGCCACCTTGGTCATGGGGCTGCCGTGGTACGTGCCGGGGACTGCACAGCAGTTACCGACTGGTGTCTGAGCCGTTTCCCTTGGTGAACCTGCCTGCACCCCCTGTTTAGAAGAGGGACGCTGCCATGCATTTACCCTTGGAGATAAGGGCCGTTGATAGCATGGAGCAAAACAGAGGGCAGTGATCCTGGGAGGAGAGGAGGCCGTAGTCTGAATCCTGTTTGACCTATGCCCAGCCAGAACTAGGTCACGTGCATTGGACTGATTCCCTAGAAAGAGAGAAACTGGATTTCCAGGGGGCTTTCCGCACGGCAGCCCTGCTCACACATTGGCCTTGTCCCTTTTCCAGAGATCTCGGGGAACACAGAGGACATTCCTCTCGTGCGCTGGAGGCAGCAGTGGCTGGAGAATGGCACCTTGCTCTTCCACATCCATCACCAAGACGGCGCCCCCAGCCTGCCGGGCGCTGACCCCACCGAAGAGCCCCAGACGGAGTCGGCGGAAGAGGAGCTAAGGATCCTCCACATCTCCGTCCAGAGGCCCGGGGCGGGAGGCACACGATGGGCACTCAGCCCCTCTTGGCTCTCTGTGGGAAGGGTGAGCCTTTGGAAATTGCCTGCTCCCCTCCCCGCCTTTCCCTGAACTACCTGTGTGCTGTGCTGTCCTTGTGAGGGGAGTGTGGCCGGTGGTGGCTGTCGATATGGGGCCGTGTCACCACCCTGGACACACACACCACACCACCCACCCACCCCCGCTTTAGTGGGGCCAGAACTGAAAACACTTTGCAGTTTCAGATCAGAATTTTTTTTTTTTTTTGCAGTTTCGAGATTTTTTTCCTCTCGGTGTGGGGGAAGAACTTTTTTTTTTTTTTAAATAGCTCAGCGCCTCGTGGGACAGGCAACCCATGTCCCCGATTCAGCAGATTCCATTTGGCCTTGCCCCTGGCTCGTTGACGTCAGCTCAGCGGGTGTGTGGCAGCTGCATAGCGGGTGGGTCTCTTCCCTCTTCGCCCCGGCCGCCCTCCCCCGAGGAATAATCTTGCTGTGGTGGCGCTTGCTTGGTATCTCTGTGCGGTTGCTTTTTGCAGCCCGCTGTGTAGGGGCGTACCATCTGGGCAGGGGGTGGAACGAGAGCACGTGGCACTGTAGCTCGCTAGCCAATTGGATGGCTCCATAGGAAGCCACTGTCGGGGAGAACTTGACCTTAGTCCCTGGGGCTGCTCTAGCTTGTGCCAAGGATGCTTCTGCAGCACCAGACACCCAGCAACTGCCCACGTGCGCCTCGGGGCAGCTAGAATTGGAGCCACGAGGTCTGCAGCAGGCTTGTGTATGGGGGCCAACCATCTGATCCAACAGGACAAACGCTGCCTCGTCAGACGCACACAGCAGTGCTCCCGTTCTGTGCCCCGTAGCCCCCGTGGGCCTCAGACATCTGTTTCCTGTGCCCATTCTGCCACCTTCCCGTTAGGCTTTTCTTCCTCTGGTGCTTTGTCATCACTGCTTTTCTGACACCCGCGGCGGAACTACCGCCTGGTGGCTTTAATTTAGCATGCGTGAGCGCACAGGGCTTGGACTATAATGAGCACGAACCCCTTAAGCATGCTGTGGATTGCATGCCCTCTCCGCCCCTCTTCCCCACCGAAGCTCGGGAAAGAGAATTCAGTGGAGGCAAAGGGGGAAAAGAAAAAAATTATAGATCAGTGTTTGTGAGGTGGATTTTTTTTTTTTAATGATGGGAAGAGCCGTCCGTATTCCTTTGCCAGCAGAAGATAATTAGCTGGAGACAATGGGCTGCTGATGCTTGCTACAGGCTGTTTAATGAAGCCTGCCCTAATGAGAACGTCAATATCTCTTCCAGATTGTAGCCCCAGGCCAAATGTCTCCTCCATCTTTTGTGCTTGATCAGTGGAGAAAAATTAATAAACGGCAAAATCAAACTGGAAACAGTTAGTCCGTTTTTGCCGAGAAGGCCGCATGTTAACTGTGGAAAATTATCCCTGACACATGGGCTGCCTCTCAGCTGCTTTGCGGCAGAGAGCCCTGGTCTGTCTAGCTAGCTATGGACATGGCTTCCGTGGTGGTACTATCTGAGCCCCTCATGGCAGTGTCCTGGTTGTGCAGCTGGGGAGCGGATACCCAGGGTAGAGGAAGTGACTTGCCGAAGGTGGTGATAAGCGTTAACTCTTCGGTAGCACGTTTCATCAGTCAGTCTCAAAGCGCTCCACAAAGGGGGCCAGGTGGGGAAACTGAGGCACGGGACAGTGACGGGACTTGCTCAAGACCCACTAGCCAGTCAGTGGCAGACTTGGGAAAGAACCTAGGTCGTTTGAGTCCCAGTCCAGGTAGACACTAGGCCGCACAGCCTCCTTAGTAATGAACATCATGTCATGTACCTAGGCAGTGGGGTAGCAGGGGAAATCTACGCATGAGCTGAGGATTCAATCCAGGTCTCTTAGATCCCAGGCCAGAGACCTCTCCACTGGACCATCCTTTCATCCTAGGCATGGACTTCAGTGGAGCTAAACTAGTTGACAGCAGCTGATTATCTGGCCCCCAGATGGCACAGAACTCTAGGTGACTCCTCTGGCTTTGCCCCTGTAGCGTAATGCCTCACTTCTTGCTGTCACAATAACCTCGTGTCGTTACGTTTCCTCTCTGCTAGCGCTCATGCTGGTTTAAAGTTGTGCGCTGTTCCCTTACCGTGCCGGTTGGTTGCTTGCTTTGTCCACTACGGGCCGGATTTTCTGTCCTTGTGGGGCCTTGGAACCAGGGGGGACCGGCAGCCCGGCCGTTCGTCCGTTCCCTGGAAAGCCTGCAGCTGGGCAGCTGCATTTCAGCTGCCTCGCCCCCACGGCTGTGCTGCTTCTGCCCTCTGCCTGGGAGCCGCTTCCAGAAGTCTCCTGTTTGCAGTCAGGGGGGCGGGGAATGGAGACGGGTGCTTATTTCAGACTCTCCCACCTCCCTCTCCCCAGCAGGCCCGGCTGAGGGGTGCCGTCTCAGGAATGCAGTGAATAACCTATGCAGCAGGCTGTGCGCCCCGGTCCTGGTGCGGAGACGCACTGAAGTGTGCAGAGACGGCCTTGTGGGCAGAGCACCACCCATTTCCTGTGCACTCACGGGCTCCCAGCCCCTGCACTCCATCCTGTGCCCCTAACCTCTACACAGCGCCCCCTGCTGCCCAACCCCTGCACTTTCCTCCCAGCTGTGCCCCAACCCCAGCTCTTGGCTTCCAGCATGTCCTGCCCAGGACCCACCACCCCCTTTACCCAGCAACACCCAAGCCCAGTTGCCCCTCACCCTGTGGCTACGGCGCCCTGGGCATGGGCCCAGTTTGCCCAGCCCTAAGGCTGACCCTGGAAGTATATTTTTAACTCTAAGCCCAGGAGGAGACCCAGTGACGTTAGTGGGACTGTTTGCATGGTTGAAGCTAAGTGCGTAAATGCTTTGCTGGGTTTGGGGGGGGGGCTGTGCTCTGGGAGCAATAGAGGATTCTGGGGGGGAGGGGGAGATGTGTGTGCATGCACGTGTGTTTGTTCACATATACACGCTCGGGCCCCGGTGCATGTCCTGTCCTGCAGTTGTTCATTGGATATTGTTGTTAACTAGACTTCAGTTCAGCAGCCGGTCGGTGAATATCTGTACCTGGCACGCAATGGCGGGTCTCCGTGAGAATCGTTTGCTCCATAATTGGACTGGAAATTCCAGAGCCTCTTCACTGAGGTTATTGCTAAAACCGCCAGGAGGGGCACGGTGAGGAACTATTGCCCTCGTTTCTCACCCCGGAGGGAACTAGGTCACGGGTGCCACGAATCTGGTGGGCTCTCAGCGTAGGGCCTCGTGGACTCGTGTCGTCCTCACAGTCGAGCGGGGAGTGAGCCGCAGGTTTGATTTTCACAGCTGACGGTGAGCAGTTGCTTGCTAGCAGCGTTCACCCCTTCGGATTGGCCAGCGAGAGCTCGCGCGGGTGCTGTAATGCTAGGAACCTTGCCTCCTGGCTACAGCTGGACTGGGTGGGATTCTGCGGGAGAACCAGTCTGAAGCGGCCTTTCCTTTTTAAGGAACGTTTCAGTCACCTGCTGGTGCAGTCTGAACGAAGTAAGGACCACTTGAAACAACGTTAGCCTGTGGGGCCACGGTTGTATCTGGGGTGAAATAAATTCCAGGGTTGGAAACCCGCGGAGTGGAAAAGCCCCAGCAACAGTTATTACCTAGCGACCAGGAAGAATGTCAGGCGGTGATGAGGGTTACAGCAACGTGTGACAGTAAAGAGGTTCCCCTTGTCCTCCACCCTCAAATGAATTCGATCCCGGAAGCACCTTTGCACCCAAGGCCGGGGTCTTGTGCCAGGACTCAGAAGCATGTGTTGTGCTAACACTCGGTTTTGAGTGTTGTTCCTCCCGGTTCAGCTGCGTTGCAAAGAGCAGCAGAGCTGGTGGGCGTGACCCCTGGCTGCCAGCAGCTGAGTAATGCTCCAGGCTCTACCTATTCTGGGCATTTCTATGGCAACCATTGCTCTGCTGTCTGGATATAGCTGCTGGGAAGAAGTGAAACTAGAGCTGGATTCCCATGCCCACCTGTAATAGAATCTGGGTCCACTGGCGGGAGATGGAGCCAGAACTGGATTCCTGTTCCCTCCTGAAAAGCCGCTCAGCTCCCCGATTCTCAAGTCCAACTGGTGCAGGAAGTGGGGGGAGGTGCAAATGTTGCTTTATACCATCTCTTGTTACCCTGAATTCTGAACCAACCAGTTTCCACACAACCTGAGTACTAGCTTTGTCTCCCTTGTTTACCATGGACCACATGCTGTTTGAACTCTGTGCTATACAGAGAGTCATCTAGTGGCTTGGGAATATAATGCAACTAAGTACATTATAGTTTGAGCAGCTGAGAAGAGCCAGCCTGTAGTGGCATTAGAGCTGTGTCCCCTTGTCTCTCCCGTGCTCCCCATACCAGAGCCCAGACTTTGAGCCAGTGCAGCATAGATGGGTGATAACGTGAGTCCTGGATATGTCCTTGCTAAGGAGTAACTCAGATCGCTCAGGAATCGGATGCAACGTTTAAGCATCCCCATAGTACGTCTCTTCTGCTAGGATCAGTTGTCTACCCTGTGACATGGTGAGGGCTGTACGGGGCTAGCAACTGGAACCAAGAGAGACCCCTACATCCCAGCTAACCGCAGTGCCCTCTAAGTGATAGCGCCTGTGCTTCATCGGCGGGATTTTGTTAGGAGGGGAGAGGTCAGTACTTCTCTCTCATCCTGCGAATGAAAGAGGGTTAACACATAATGGCCATTAGAGAGTTCTGCCAGCTGCTTCGTCTGTTGCTCATTCAAATAATTCCCTTAATGTTTGGTCCTAATGGAGCAAATGATGGTTATTATTTTATTTGATCAAGATCACCTACTGCATAAAAAGGAGGTGAGGAGGAGCAGGAGAGTGGCCAAGAATGGACATTGAGCTGTTCGCTGGCTCCCATGTATTTATTTTTTGCTCTTGGCGTGCAAGATACAAAGGACTGGCACAGTCAGCAAAACTAAGCGTGTCTCTCTCCAACTTTATCTGTGGGCTGCAGATGACCTTTGTTTGGCTTGTCTGGTTAGACTGTCAGTATTTGGGGGTAGGGACTGGTTTGAAGGGTGATTTTCCATCAGGATTAGCTCGCTATGGTTATACCCTTGTAATTAAACCAGTACATTCCTGCCAGAAAAAATGGCCCCTTTTAGGCATGATATCGTGTGTGTGTGTTCAAAAGCTTGTCTCCTTCACCTACAGATGTATTGCTCCAATAAAAGAGGTCCCCTTCCTTCTCCTGGAAACTGAAAACTTTGTCAGTAGGGGCGTTTGCTTTGAATAAATCTGATCTGATTCCAAAGACAACATGAAAATAAATGAGTAGTCCTGTGGCACCGTAGAGACTAACAAAAATATATCTAGTATCGTGAGCTTTCGTGGGCACAGCTCACTCATGATCTGAGGAAAGCTCATGTTACGATATATTTTTGTTAGTCCCTAAAGTGCCACAGGATTACTCATTTTTAAAGTTACAGACTAACACGGTGATTCCTCTGAGACTTGTGAAAATAAATGTATAAGGAAGATTTGTTTCCCTCGCTTCAAAGTTGGTTCTGCTTGGTCCCTCTCTCCTGAGTTAGCGTAACATTCAAAGCCCGTCCTTACTTTTATGCATCTGTTTTAGATTCTCTTGAAGTCAGTGGAACCTGGGTTGATGGGTATTGTAGAAGTGGGCTGGGTGAAGGGCTTTGCTGAATTGAGGCCTTGGTGTCTAACGAGCTCCTATGAAGTTCAGTCTTACCTGTCCTGGCCGTGTTAGCATTGATCTGTGGAGTGGGTGAGCTTGCACTATTAGCTGTCTGTTCCACACTGATCCTGTGGATTATAAATACGGGATTTTGCTCCCCTAGGCCGACAGCTGGACTTTGTTCATGGACTTGGTTTCCTTAAAAAACCAAACCCAACCAAACCAAAAAAAAAAAACCCAAATGATTTAGTACTAAAATACAGCAACGTGATGTGAGGACGGTTTCAATTTTTCATTCTTTTTCGGTAACTTCCTCTTGTGTCTGAAAGGAAGCTCCCCGTGAGGGAAGCCAGGCTCTTGGGTTTTGTGATGTATGTGCTGCTTTCCGTGTTTTGATCATCGCAGGCTCTCCTGGCCGATGCGGGGTTGGGAGGCAGAGACTTTCTTTATTTCCTTTCGCCAAGAATTCCTTCCATTTCAAATGAGCCAAGAAAACACCCCTCCCACTCAATATGCACAAACACTGGCATCCCGAGGATAAATGGGACGAGAGGCATTTATTTGCATTTTCAAAGCACCCGTGTTGCGCATTTTGTGCTGCACAAACGCTTAAGAACGTTACCGCTCCTTAGAACAAAAGACCCCAAATGGACATCCCCCCACCACAAATCCCCAACCCCCGATGGTTTTGTCTAAAAGCTACGTGCTCGGTCACGTGGGAATTCCTTCACTCCGGGTCAGCGCCCCATACACAGCAGGTAGGCACTGGCCTTGATTTAGAGAAAGGCAAAACGAAGTTCAGAGAAGTTCAAGTGTCTTGTCCAAGATCAGACACTAACGGTACATCTAGACGACAGGCTTTTGTCGACAGAGACTGTCAACAAAGTTTCTGTCGACAAAGAGCATCTAGACTACAAAGCAACAAAGCAAGCCGCTTTTTTGAAAAAGCGCAGTGTGGATGCAGTAGCGCCTTTTGTTGACAGAACTCTGTTGACAAAAGGCGTTATTCCTCGTAGAATGAGGTTTACCGCCGTCGACAAAACTACCGTGTTCTGTCGACTTACTGTCAACAGAACTCGGCGGTAGTGTAGATGCAGGTATAGTTTTGTCCACAAAAGTCCACTTTTGTCGACAAAACCCTGTAGTCTAGAATAGTGATAGAAATGTCGCCGTGTTAGTCTGGTGTAGCTGAAACAAAATACAGGACTATGTAGCACTTTAAAGACTAACAAGATGGTTTATTAGATGATGAGCTTTCGTGGGCCAGACCCACTTCCTCAGATCAAATAGTGGAAGAAAATAGTCACAACCATATATACCAAAGGATACACTTTAAAAAAATGAACACATATGAAAAGGTTACGGTCTTGTGCTATCGGCCCTGTCCTCCTTCAGCCTGCCACTGCTGGATTCCCGCACTCACTCTTGCATCCTGCCTGTGTCGCAGGGTGGCTAGTCTCCGTGATTAGCATCAGCTCGGAGCCGGCGATGGTGCTGTCCACTGAGCCCGTTAAGAAGGCAGAGGTGGCACCTGAGTTGTAGATGGTCGGGCGTGGGGAGGATGTCAGGGCCGGCAGAGCTAGAAGGGGAAATGACTTGAGCCGGGATAAAATCCAAGTTCTGCTGTCGATTCCCTGTGTGATCGTAGGTCAGTTGCTGCAGCGCCTCTTGCCTCAGTTTCCCCAGCGCTCTGGGGGATAGACCCACCTCAGAGCGCGCCCAGCGGAGCCGCCAGGGGACCTTACGAGGGAGGTGTATGTCCGAGCGGTGCTCGGCCTCTTCCATCCTCCCGCTCCTATTTCCATTTCGCAGGCGACAAAACCCACGGAGGCTGCCGCGCTTCCATGCGTTATTCCGCTCTCGCCTGCGCTAGGGACGGGAGCGTCCCGTGGGAATGCAGAGCCCGGTTTTGCCCTGGCCTGAGAAGACACAATTACCACTGAAGGGAGCTCCCAGCAGTTCCTGCTTACACCAGGCTTGATTTTGGGCTCAGGGACAGCTCTTTGGCTGGTGTCTCTGGCCGCTGCCCCACCGAATGGAGCTGTGGTGCTGTGGACCAGCTAAGGAACTGGCCTGTGTTTTAAACGGGCCCTGCCTCGGTGAAGCACTCGGAAGTCCTGAGATCTGAGCTCTTGCAGGATTTCTCTGGGCTCGGCCCCCTGCGTCCGCCTAGGCTCCGCCGGGGCCGGGGCCCCAAGCCTGGGGCCCCATGTTTGCAGTTGGGGGGCAGGCTGCGGGGGAAGGAGTCTGGCATTTTCCCAGCGCTGTTGCCCTGCCTTTGGGAACGTGGCAGCGCTCGGAAGAAAGCCAGGGCTTCGGGGGGGGGTTAACACCTGCCCTTGGAAGCGCACAAGATCCCGACTTATAACGTCCTCCGCCCGAGTGACTTTCAGCCAGGCCTGGAGTCAGGCTGCTGGGCCAGCGGGGAAAGGCAGCCAGGCCCCTTTGCCGCTCCCTTGGGGCCGCACTGGCCCTCCAGCTGGAACGGAAGCTGCTGCTCTCCCTGTCCATGGAGCTCTGCCTCGCGGGGGCTGGGTCCAGGTCTCCCGCCCCCAGCCTGAGCCCTGCTTCTGTTCCCTTCCCTAGGGGGGCATGATAGCCCTGCTGCTCTCCATCCTGTGCCTGGTGATGATCCTCTACACCCGCCGGCGGTGGTGCAAGCAGCGCCAGGTGCCGCAGCCCCAGAAGAGCGCCAGCGCCGAGGCGGCCAACGAAATCCACTACATCCCCTCGGTGCTGATCGGGGGCCACGGGCGGGAGAGCCTGCGCAACGCCCGCGTGCAGGGCCACAACTCCAGCGGCACGCTGAGCATCCGCGAGACCCCCATCCTGGACGGCTACGAGTACGACATCACCGACCTGCGGCACCACCTGCAGCGCGAGTGCATGAACGGCGGCGAGGACTTCGCCAGCCAGGTCACCCGGACTCTGGACTCGCTGCAGGGCTGCAACGAGAAATCCAGCATGGATCTCACGCCAGGTGGGGGGACGACGGGTTTTCCCTCCGTGTCCTTTGCTGTCCCTGCGTCCCTGGGCTCAGCCGAGTCCTCGGAGTCCTCTCCCTGTGTATACTGCTGCCCTGGGGCTACGTACACACAGTGCGCGCCTCTGCGCCCTTTCCCCATGCAGGTTTGATTTGCTCTCCGAGCCATAAGAGATGTAGTGAGTGTTCTAGCCATTGCATGCACTCTCTCCCCGACTCGTGCAGCCAGATTTACCCTCGTTTAGAACAGAACATAAGAACGGCCGTACTGGCTCAGACCAAAGGTCCATCTAGCCCAGTGTCCTGTGCCAACAGTGGCCAATACCAAATACCCCAGAGGGAGGGAACACAACAAGTAATCCTCATGTGATCCCTCCCCTGTCACCCACCTCCAGAGAAACAGAGGCTAGGGACACCATTCCTACCCATCCTGGCTAATAGACATTGATGGACCTAACCTCCATGAATTTATCTTGGCTCTTTTTGGAACCCTGTTAAATTCCTAGACTTTACAACATCCTCTGGCGAGGAGTTCCACAGGTTGACTGTGCGCTGAGTGAAGAAAAACTTCCTTTTGTTTGTTTTAAACCTGCTGCCTATTAATTTCATTTGCTGACCCCTAGTTCTTACATTGTGGGAATAAGTAAATAACTTTTCCTTATTCACTTTTTCCACACCAGTCATGATTTTATAGACCTTTATCATTATCCCTCCTTTGTCCGCTCTTCTCTAAGCTGAAAAGTCCAGCTTTTTTTAATCTCTCTTCAGATGGGGCCCGTTCCAAACCCTTCATCATTTTAGTTGCCCGTTTCTGAACCTTTTCCAATGCCAATACATCTTTTTTTGAGATGATGCGACCACATCTGCATGAAGTATTCAAGATGTGGGTGTACCATGGTTTTATATAGAGGCAATATGATATTTTCTGTCTTTTTTTCCCCACTTTGTGTGATACCACAGAGATTAGAGGTGGTGCTGAAATACAGAGCCTCGGTTCCGGCACAGGGCTGTCTGTGCTGGCACTCTAACACAGTTTTCTTACACAGTTTTCAGTGAAGGGTCAGATGGAAGGAAAAAAAATGTGGTGGTGTTTGGTCCAAGATCTGTCTGCATCCCCAAGTTCTAGCCTCTGTCCTGGAACCCCTGGGTCCATTTACAAAAATGATCAGTGGGGAGATAATTAATGTTAAAGTGCAAATGGTCATCAGTAGGTTTCAGGGGTAACGTTAGGTTGACACAGATGGGGCCTCTCTTGGATCACAAGACCTAGTGACAATGTAGCTGTCCCCTGATGGGCTTGCAGAGTGGCTAGAGGTTGTGTAGGTGGAATTTAAACAGTATCTCTGGGAAGATCAAGGATGAGATGTCCAAAGCTGCCTAAGGGATTTGGCTGCCCAGTTTGTGCAGTGAAATCTCTAGGCGGCTTTGAAAATCTCGACCTAAAGCCCTTAGGCTGGTCAGAGGGAGGCCTGCCGACGTGGTGGGGGATGGGCGAAGGGTGCAATTGCTCCAGAGCCTGGCGACTAGAGGGCCCGGGCCTCCCGACCGGTATCGTGGCCAGAGCCCGGGCTCTTTAGAATTGCCGCTGGAGAGCCACACGTACCGCTACAGAGCCCTATGCCGTGCGCTCTGGCCGGGGGTGGGAGGGCTCCCGGCGGTTCTGCGGGCTGGTTTCCCCCGCCGCACCCCTTCCGCAAGTGCGGAGCCCGTCTGACCATTGGCTCCCCTGGCCGGATCCTGTCTACACTGCAGCTTGTAACTATAGTGTGAGGAGGGCCCCCTGGGGGGCTGCTGGCCATTCGTGCCTGTCGGTCCCTGGATGATTTGGGGCTTCTCCAGCGCCCAGCCTAAGAGGCAGTTGTTCTCAACGGGCAGAGCTCGCACCTGCCTCCTTGTCGTCCCTGGCTCTTCCCAACCGATTTTTTCCCTTCCTCCAAGCTACAGGCCGGCTGGAGAGTTTCTCCCTGCTTGCCGGCTCTCGCCCGGGTTGCCATGCGGCGGCAGGGCCGGCGGAGCTGCCAAAGGGGCGCGGTGCTGGTGGTGGAGCCAGTTTCGTCAGCTCGGGCACGTTGGGAGCGGAAGAAACCTCGGCGGCCACCCCGGCTCCCCTGGGAACCCTGCTCCGTTTTGCTGGCGGGCTGCTCTCCCAGGCGTCGCAAGCGCTCTCAGGAAAGGGCCTGGATCCTGAGAAATGAATTCTCTCTCTTTCTCCCTCCCTCCTCTTTTTGTCTTTTCTCTGAAAGTCTTTGCCTTAAATTCTTCCTGCTCAGGAAGCGACAATGCCAAGCTGTCCTTGATGAACAAGTACAAGGATAACATCATCGCCACCAGCCCCGTAGACTCCAACCACCAGCAGGCCACCCTCCTGTCTCACACCTCCAGTAGCCAGCGGAAGCGGATCAGTAGCAAAACACGAGGTACCCTGGGACTCGCTGGGGCTGGGGGAGGCGGCTGGGGGGTTCTGTCCACCAGCAAAGCTCAGGCCTTTTCTGCATCAAAGATTTGGCCATGTGGCGTGTGCAAGCAAAGCCGCAGTCTGTCCCCCCGTTTCCAGCAGCGGTCAGCTCTGCCAGGACAAATAGCAGCGTTGCCTGGCTATGGCGAGCCCCCAAGGCAGAGTTATGGTGTTCCTCTGTGGGGAAAGGGAGCACTTTATATTCCCCATAGCAACATCCTCGGACCACCTAAGAACCACTGTTGGTGGCAGCGGTGGGTGGGACTCAAAAGGCCCCGAGTCTGCATCACTCAAGCAGGTGTCTGTGCCTGTTCCCCCTCCTACCCATTGTCCCTTTAGATGGTTAGCTCTGCAGAGCAAGAGCTGACGACTAATGTGTGTACAGCACCTTGCGCATCCGGGCCCGGCTCTCTGGCCTTACTGCCACGCAAGGGGGGGGGGGGGAGGGGTTGTTGGCAGTGATTCTGTTGTTGGTTCACTGTAGCTGGCTCCGCATTTCTGAACCCCGAAGGAGATTCTGGGACAGAGGCCGACAACGACCCCCAGCTGGCGTTTTACACGGACCCGTCCCGGAGCAGGCGGCGCAGCAGAGGTAGGGGGGTGTGCGTGCGTCGGTGGCGGGGAGCATGGAGGCTGAGAATCCAAAGCAGATGTTTCTGCAGGGGCCGGGCCCAGGTTGCATCTAAGGGTGTTTCGCATTGCAGGGCTACATCCATTCTTACCGCAAGTGCTCGGGCCACACCCGGACCCTGTCCAAGTCAGTAGCCATCCTGCATTGGGGCCATGTTAGGCTGCTAGTGCGGCTGCCTGGTTGCAGTGCCCCTCTACCCAAATTCTCATAGCTCTGTCTCCTTCCAGATATACGAGTCCTGTAGAACAGCAGGTGCGGAGGTCTAATCCCTGGCCAGTTGGTTGGCTGCGTAGGGCAGGTTGGGAGATCCCTTCAAATAAGGATGAAATACATTCCGATTTTGCTGCCGGCATCTCTCTGGATTTGTTGTATATTCATGAATCACGGGCTTCAAAGCCAGGCTTGTTAGCCCCTGCGCCTCCCTTTTGGTGGCTTACTGCTGTTGTTTTAATAAAACAGTCTCCAGCACAAAGGGGAAACCAGATGGGAAGACTCTGTAAACACGCTGTACCTCACCAGCACTGGGCTGTATGCAAGTGTAGAGAAGGCAGCTGCGCCCGGCTTTACAGAAGGAAGAGATGTGATTATAAAAACTAGCCCTTCTGCATCAAAGTCAAATGAGGCTGACTTGCTAGCTGAGAATGTTGTCCCCCTCTACAATGATGGACTGGTTTTCTCTCACCATCTGCTTCTCTCTCGGAAACTGTAGATTCTCTCTCTGTCCTCCAGCGCTCGCTTTACAGCCTCGACCAGCTGTTCTCGTCTTGGAACTCCTGAACTTTTAAAACAAGCGCTCCGCCACCTATTCCTTTGCAGAGGTTCTTACACTGCATCGAACAACGTGACTAACACCCGGCGCGTGGTGTTTGTTCTCTCGTCCCTCCCCTGCAGGAGTAGCGTGTCTCTTGTTTTGGTGGGTCGTTTTTGGTTTTGATGTTGGGGTTTTTTTAGGCACGTTTCGCCGTGTTGGTGGTAACGAAGGCAGGTCGAAGCCCGGGAGCGGAAGGCGGGCGGGTTTGAGATGGACTCTGCTTCCTGGCACTCGGTCTGGACTTGCTACTCTCCGGGAAACCAGCGTAGGGCATGGAGGACCGGTGTGGTGTCTTGTGGGAGCTTGTGTTTGAGGCTGTGTCCCTTGAACCAAAGGAGGCAGCACCCTGGCTGTGATCTCTCTGGAATGCTCTCCTCTCCCCACCTCTGGGTGCGTCCTCATCCGGCCCGTCTTCCCCTACGAGCTGCTGTCGTGCACACGCTGGGCTGGCAGGGGTGTGGCCAAGGCTGGCTTGAGCCCTCTGCGCATTGCCGGCACCGATGTCCCTGTCACGTCACCAGTTCGCCCGGTGGTGGCATCTGGCTGGTCAGAAGGCCCGGGAGAGAACCGGTCCTGGTGGACCTTGACAGCAGCCATGGGGCTGGTGGTGAAGCCATGTCCGAGTGCCTGGCCCAGGCAGGCTGGAGTAAGAGGCGTGGAAGCTGGCATGGCAAAAGCCTCTTCCTGGAACCCAGCTACAGCAGACTCTCGTGGGCCGCATGTCGAACGCTGTGGAGAGGTCCAGGAGGAGGAGGGCGGATGCCTGAAATGGCTTTGGTTCCATGTTCCTGGCCTGAATCCAGATGATGCTGGACCCAGAATACTCACGTCACTTCTGTTACCTAGTAGTCGGCCTTGGGCTGCCTTCTCCATGAGCTTGCTCAGCAATGGGAAGCCTGGCCCTGGGCGGTAGTTGATTGGGCTGAAGTATCCAGGCTGGGTTTCTTTAGCATTGGTTGCGCTATGGCTTGTTTGAAGGAGGTAGGGGAAATTCCTTCTGTGCGCGAGGCGTGGGCCGGTTCCATCAGGACCGGCGCCTGTCGCTCCAGACTCTGCCGCGAGCCGGGAGGGGGATGGGCGGGATTCCCAAGTGTTGGGTTGTGGCTCCATCCGGGTTTCCAGAACTTCCTGGTGGGAGAATAGGCTGACGTCTGGGCACGCAGGAAGTCTGTTGGTCGACAAGCGTTTTCCCCCGTCTTCCTTCCGCTGAATACACAGGCAGATCTCTCTGGACTCCGTGAATTAACTGATTGCCTTTCCCATCAGGAAAAGTTCTCAACTGAAACTTCCATCTCCTTGGTGACGGGCATGGAGGCTGCATAGCATATGCCTTTTTCATCATCTCCCGTTTGCAGCAATTTAAAGATGCAACAGGTCAAATCCAGAGCAGGAATAATTTGTGGCAGATCCCTTTGATAAGGGGCCGGTTGCTTGTTTCACCTTTCCGAGACAGGTGAACTCGGCACCGAGCAAGTTTTCTCGGTGCACGAGACCCTCCGATGAGCAATTTTTTTTCTTCTTTTTTTTAAAGCCCTGGATGTTAAAGATCCCATAGCCCCTATTCATGGGGAACTGAATGCAAGCAAATCACCGGAAGGAAAAACAAATTGAGTACTCTGTTTCCCTTCTTTTTACTGAATACTGAGCCATGGATCTCTGACCTGCGGGAAAATGAAGGCATCGACAGTGGTCTTTTAGAAGGCATTGATGCAGACAGCAGTGTATTGAAAGAACCTGAACTGTTGTGTGTGTCTGTGACGGACCGGGCCGTGTCTGGGCACCGCTGAGGGCGTCCGCGCAGGGCGAATTGCTCAAATCCGGGGCTACTTACAGCCCCCGACTGGTGACCTCTCCACGCAGGCCACAAACCAGTCCCACAGAGTGCTTCAGCAACCTGCCTGAAGCCTCCCGAGCAAAACCCCTCCGACGCCCCAGCAATATCCGTGCCCCAGATGGCCCCGGGCCTCATACACAGGTGGGAGTCCTAGCACCCAATCCCACCTACCCCGAACAAGTTCTGTCCGGTTCCAAGAAACCAGCCACAGATCCCTGGTCAATTTACCCTCTGGACCTTACCCACAAATCACGCTGGGCCAATCCTTTAGAATCTATATCTAAAGGTTTATTATTACAGGAAAGAAAAGCTTGAGAGTGAGGTTATTAAAGTACAGTACGTTACATGCACCGAATCTCCCAGTTCTCGATGCAGGCTCTAGCAGAGATGTTACAGCTGCTGGTTTAAAAGTTCTTATTGCACATCCTACGATCAGGATGGGTTCATAGGTCTTCCGGGCTCTTCAATCCCTGCAGTGCAGCCTCTGGGATGAAGTGCTGAGCTGAGAACAAAATGGCATCGACCGCATGGCCTCTTTATACCTCCTTCCTGGCCTCTTCTGGTCTCAGCCGGTCACCTGGTCCTCAGCCTCTCTCTGCTGGCAGCTCTTGGGTCTCCGCCCTCCTGCTTTAGGTGTGTCTTTGGGCCATCAAGGGCCATTGTTCCACAGGGCTTCACTACTCAGCCTGTCCATAGCAGTGCTCAACCACATTCAGAGAAATATTCAGCTTCCACACAGATTGCAGATTCCTACCTACACACACAGACATTATACACTCACATAAATAGCGTACATAAGATCAACAAACAATAATCTCCCATTCAATACCCCACATGGCTCCCCCCATACCAATTTCTGGGGCCAACACCCCCACCTAGGGGTGCAGCAGCGATCTGGCTGCTTCCCTCCATTTCAGCAACGTGACAGTGCCGTAAGATACAGACTGTTAATAAATGGGAGAACAAGCCTCCATAAAAACATAATGGGCCAGATTTTGCTCTCTGATTAATCAAAAGGGGCTCTGCAGAACAAGCTCTGGATTTCGGGGCATGAGGATAAGAGGAATGTGAAGCAGGGTGTTTCTCAGAAGACTTTTGGAGTGGGTGGGGAGGTGTGTTCCCTCTTAAGATTTTTCCATCCTTGGGCAGGTTGAATTTTCTTTTGGGTGAGTTGAATTTTCTCATGTGCAACACTAATATTGCGGATATAAATAGATGTTTAAATAGGCCACAGGTGTGGAAGAAAATATATTAAAATAAGGGATAATTAACAAGGAGCAATGCTTATGATTATTGAATATGAAATTAAATACAAAGAAAATTAACACTGCCCTTGGCTGAGGAAGTGGGTTGTGCCCATAAAAGCTAATGATACTATTTATATATTTTTGTTAGCCTAAGGTGCTACAGGACCATTGTTTTTTAGTTACAGACTAACTCGGCTACCCCTCTGAGACCTTGGAGTACATGTAGCATCATCCTTTCTAACAGACAGATCCTTGTTTCAAAGATCTGGCAAATAAGGTTTCATCCTACGAAACATCCAGCATCACACCTAGTACTTGCTGCTTCTGACTCATAAAAGCTAGAACTCTACCAGATAGCAAAGATCTGGCCTTAATGCAATACAATTAGCCTTGTATTAATTAGTGACACTAGATTTTAAAAAAATCATAACGATCAGAGCTTTAGATATAGGCCATACTCCAAAAAATTCTGTTAAAAGAAACTTTTTCTTTCTTACCGTAAGCCATTAACTCTTCTGTAAACGTTGTTTGAAATGTAATAATGAAAATGTGCCAGACACACACACCCAGCAGGGGAGTGTAACACACAGGACCCCAGCCCAGCCAGTCCCCCAATGGGAGGACTAGGGGAGAAGCAGGAAGGGAGAAGGCTGCTCTGTTAGCAGTTCACAGGGCAGGGAAGGATTTGGGAAAGAGGCAGAGATCCTCTCTGGCAGCGTCTGTAGCTTACCCAGCTTTTTCCACGTAGCTGGTGGCAGGCAGTGAAGCACAGATCCCTCTTCCCCTTCGGCCTGCAGGCTCCGCAGGAG